TAGGTGCATATAACGGTGCACGTCTGCTGTGTTTTGTAGTTTCTCCGGCACATAACGCCACCAGTACTTCCTGTCGTCGCGATACGCATTCTCTAGGAATTTTGCTAGTGCAAAGCGTCCGATTCGTTGTGGGACACTGCACAGTAACTGTCGTTCTTTGGCCACGTGTGCTAGCGCAACGTCATCGTGCTCATACACTAAAGATGATGAGTCGCTAATGTTAAGGCTATCATTTTCTAATTGTCCCTCCGTTTCATCATGGAACAGGGGTTGCTCTTCTGGAGGAACGAATGTGACCTCTTCTCCTGGATACTGCGCTCCTGTTTCTTCACTTGGTTCATCTTCTAGATATCGCGCTCCTGTTTCTTTTCTTGGTTCAACTTCATCCGCTCCTGCTTTTTCAGAGTCTTGCGCTCCTACTTCTTCAGGGGATCGGGGAGACTCCTCGAGGGCTTCTACATACCGCCCTGTTTGATTAAAACGATTGTTCATGCGCTCTATGGCGGCGGCGCGGTTGATTGCGCGTTGCATGCGCTCTGTGACGGTAGCTTTGGTGTTGTTCTCGTGGCCCTTTTGACAATCATAATATGTTCTGCCAATTTGATGCCCTCTCCTGTGCCGACTCCTTGCAACAATCCAACCCTTGGCAAGGAACTATTGCAAAGCAATTGCTATCGGTTCCTTCATCCTCCTGTCGATTGGCAGATGCCTCAATTTGATTTCCCTTTATGGATGTTCAAATGTTGGCATTCTTCCCTCCTATATTCAGGCAATTCACCACTTATCTGCGGCTTCAACATGTCAGGACACAACCTACTGGCTCTGACCCTCTTTGCTTCTCCTTAGACTACAACCAGCCGCCTTTTGATGCTTGTAACAACCACACTGTTCTGGAACACTCTGCTCATGAGACGCTCTCCATTCATTTGGATCGATATACTCATGGCAGAAGGAATCAAGAACACAAGGCCCAATCAAGCTTCAATACAGGCAGCACAACATACACAAAAAACACAGAAAACAACATAAAAATACGCCGCCTCGAGTGGCAAGATCGTTTGAATAATATACCCATGGGTAGGGTACATACATCTATTCGATAGAGCAACTTCCTTGGGATTGGATGCCTCAAACTGGTTCAACAGTACTGGACTCACCTCCGTATGGTAAATGGCCATGACAGCCGTTAACGGCAATCTAGAAACTTGAGATAGTTTTAACATGATTAATGCATCAGATTTATTATTATTATTATTTGGTGTTGTTCTTGTCGGTATCGTTATCGTTATGCAACGATGTCAATGGGGCCTGCAGTAGCTGTGTTGACTCATTAGGGTCGTTTGCGTCCTCCAAATCCGCCACCAAAATCGCAGTCTCATTTTCATGCTGTACTTCTGAGTGCTCTTCTTGAGCACCTTCATTACTATTATTTTGTTGTTCTAGGGCGTCGCTGCCGTCATCATCATCGTCGTCGTCATCATCACCACTGTTATAATCATTGTCATCCTCACTGTCATCATCATCCTCACTGTCGTCACCAGCTCTGC